TTAAAAACATCATTAAAATTTCTTTATTAGTAATTACAAAGATTTATTTAAATTTACGTGTATTTTGAATTTAAATAATCCCTCAAGGATAGCTCGTGGTAGACTCTATTCCCAACTACTCCAGTTCCTCGTAAACTCGGTTTCCGTTTTGCAAAATTAAACCTTAATTCACAAAAGGTAAAATAGACAATCAACTGAAAGAGGTAAAATTGGTTATTTATTAAACGAATGATTAATTTAAAGTCTTCAGTAAAAATTTAAATAAAATTTTTATAATCAAATATTATTTATCAAATTTTAAATAATTTTTTTAAATTTTAATTAACATTTTTTATTCTAATTAAAATTTTGTTTCCATCGATACACAAATTCCGTGTTAATAATTAAAAACTTTTATGACCTTTGTATCATTTGAAGCAAAACATTTTAATTATGTTTTGTTTTAAAATGTTTCGTAAACAAATGTTTCTTTATGAGACGTATTCTCATTTATTATTTTAATTTTCTTTTCAATTCTTTTAATAAATAGAATATTTAATGTAAATAATAAATAAATATTAACATTTTTTAATAAAAAATGTTTAAAGGTGTAATTTTAGTTTATTCTTTCATTTTTGTAATTAAGCAAGAAAATTCTTAAGAAAGAAACTAGACTTTGTGATATCAAAATTTTCTTATTGGCAATTAATAAAGAGTTTAAGGAATTTGGTTTATACCTTTACGAAGTCTTTTTTCGCCTGAAAAATATATAGGTAATTCATCGAAATATAATTTGTATAGAATAAAGCTGACGGATCCGGAGATCCGGATCCGATAAAAGGCCGCATATCCGGATATTTTCGGTTCGGATACCGGATCCGGATATCCGAAGATTTCCAACTATCTGCCAACCTTAGTATATAAGATGCTGGCTTGTTTTAAATTAATTTTTATTTCACACTATCTTTAAATGACCTTTTTTTATATTTATTTATTTATAAAACGCCAGGTGATTTTACCAGTAGCTAATAAAAAATTTATATTTTCATATGAAAAGGTCAAAAAAAGTTTTATTTAATTTTACGTAATAAATATTTCAAAGTATTTTACTTTTGATATTTTTATATAAAATTTAGATTTCAAATAATATTTGCAACTGATTTCAGGAAAATATTTAATTTTTAACCTAAAACTTATGGCATTTAATTATGTTCCCGGAGCGAATTATACAGAGACAGAAACAAAAATATTTTTAGCAGCAGATATTGTAGAACTTGCTGCCAATTCATTATTAGCTTGTCCAATTTCAACTATAAACTTTATTTTAATATTAAAGACTTCAATTTTACATCCAAATTTAAAATTAATTCTTTTATGTCAAAGCTTGTGTATTTTTATTAGAGGAATTGGTAGGGGATATATTTTGTGACATAAATATTTCAGTAAAGTAATTTTTAGTGTTTCACCGGAACCGAAATTTTGACCGGAACCGGAACCGGATCCAATTTGAGTTCCGGTTTCCGGAACCGGAACCGGAACTTTTCAAAGTTCCGGCCCGGAACCGGAACCGGAACCGGAACTTTTAAAAAAATTTTTGCTAGCAAATTTTAAAAAATTTGTAGTTTAAGTAGAGTTGACTGTTCACCAACTTCTTCGGTTAACCGAAACCGAACCGAACCGAGACTTTTGATTAACCAAAACCGAACCGAAAATCGTCGACGATAAGTGATATATTTGGGTTAGAGAGTGGTGTATGAACGGATTTGGTGGTATAAGTGTTTGATATCGTACGATATAAGGATTCAGAATTGTAAGGGGGTTTAAGGGATATCAGTGGAAGAAGGAGCGAAATACGTTTTATGGGGATAAGGAAGTAAAGAAGGATATAAGGCCCATTGATGTCACACTATATAATTCAAAATCCACATTGATCCATCCAAATCATCCGTTATACCATTCAACTAAGTTTTTCAGCGCCGCAGGCGAAAATTTTAGAATATTTGAGGACAAGAAGCCAAATTTCTTCCATTTTTAGCGCCGCAGGCGAAAATTTTGAGGATTTTGGATGCCCAGAAAGTCAGAAATCCTTCATTTTTACCGTTTTTTTACAAAATCCGAAGAATTTTTAAAATTTTACAAGATGCTAAAAATAGGGCAAAAATATGGCAAATGAGAAAATAGGGAAAAAATAGGGCGAAAAGGTCAAAAATAGGGAAAATCCTCTATATATAGGGTAAAAGGGCCTTGAGTGAAGCCTAAACCCTTAACCACTCGGACACCCGCTCATCAGAATGCTATTGAAAGAAAATAAACATATTTCTTTCGATTTTTTTATTTTAAGTATGAGAGTACGAGTAGTTTATTAATATTTTTAAAAAAAAATCAATCTTTAGGGGTGTAAAAAAGTTCCGGTTTACCCGGAACCGATTTGAAAACCGGAGCCGGAACCGGAACCGGATCCAATATGGGTTCCGGTTCCCGGAACCGGAACCGGAACCAAAAAAACACCGGAACTTTCCGGAACCGGAACCGGAACTTCCGGTGAAACTCTAGTAATTTTTATGCGGGCTTTATTTATGGACCGATTTATTCAGATTTCTTTTAAATAGTATTTTTTATTTTAACAATAAATTTTTTGTCTTGCCTGTAACTGAACCTAAAAGCAATATCAATGACAGATATGTATATTTTAGAATTAAAGATAGGACGACTCGATTTTCCGATAGAATAATTTTAAATGCACATTGAATTCATACTTTCACATTTGAAGTATTATCTCGAATTTATCTTCAAATCTGTTTTCCATTTGCCATTAAAAAATAAGGGCTTTAACATGAGAAATTGGGGGTATGAAGCTCATTCTTCACAATTATTTTTCAAAACATTCTCAAATAAATATATTATTAGGTCGAACAATTTTGAATATATTTCGGTTTTGTTTATCTGATGTTTCAACTAGAGGTCCTTATTCTTTGATGATAATCTACATGCAGTCTTTATATGTCCGTAATTGTATAATGCATGTAATGGTTATTGAGAGAATAATTGCAACTTTAAAATCAAGAAATTATGAAAAACACACAAGCGTCTTGTTCCATGTTGTATGGATAACGATCACGGTAAGTGTATTTAATTTACCTAATTTCTTCCTGTACTATATTAACAATCCTGATCTGATTTTTACGGATTCTTGAGCATTTATGGTTTTAGCCTTCTCATTTAAATTATTTTAGTTTCTTATTGCCCTACTCAACGTTTTATCAGCTCTAATACTTGATTACATTCTTGTTGCAATTCTTACATATTCCTCGCTATCCCTTTTGGGGATACTTGAAATATGGGCTCTCTTCTGGATTCTTAATTATAACAAAAGAAAATACGAGAAAAAGCTTCCGGAAGGTTGTCATAATTTGTCAGAAAGATATCAGGTTTCATACAGTTTTTCTAAACTAATAAAACGGTAAACTGTCGGATTCGGAATAATTAAGAGCTTTCAAATAATTTTGAAAATTTAAATTTAGTCCTAAACTGTGTGGGAGAATTACTGGAGAAATATTAAAGTTTCGTCTATGGGAAGTCTCATAAATCTGATAAGTTATATTCCCAAAATATTACCTTATATGAGCTAAGTCCTATAAGCTTGAAGTATGGGACTAGAAATCATTTTACAAATTTCATGTTACAATATCCTTAACTACAATCAACTGTCTAAAATCAATTTTTGCTGTTATAAGTTGATAGAACGTTCGATACTTTCGGAAGTAATGTTTTTATTTTAGTAACGTACTGTGCCTAACACTAGTTATAGGTACTTTGGGAAGATAACTTGAGACCAAGAATATCTAGTATGTTGTTTATTAATAATCGACTATAAACACTTTACACCTAACAAAAAATTATAAAAAAAATTTCTTGAAAAAATAATAATTAATAACAGATTTCTGAGAATATTCGTACAGCGAAGCAATTGTTACCATGTATTATTATGCACTTGATGAATATCATAGTGCCAGGAATTAATGTTTTCCTTATAAATTTCAATGTATACTCTGGACAGTTTATTCAAGATTTTGTTGAAGAATTTATGTACATGTTTGTCACAATTAACAGTTTTCTTATTGAATTGTCGATGATCATGTAAGGAATTAAGTTTATTTAATATAACTTGGGATTATTTATTATGGACCGTTAAGCTTCTACGTTTCAAGTTTCATTTTTAAGACTTTGTCTTAAGGTCTTAACTTAAGACTTTTCTTGGGGTTTTCGGTTTTGGTCTTGAGCCTTAAAAGACTAGCCATATTGGGCATCTCAAATTTAAATATTTAGGCATAATTATAAGGTTCTACCAATTCTTATTTTAATAGAAGAGGCTAATAAATCAAAATATTAGTGATCATAAATTATTTTATTTATAGATTCCATCCTTTCTTGAAACGAGATCTTTTATATTTTTGTAAAATATTTTGTGGCCAATGCTTTAATCATTCAAGTACAGTTGTTCCTAGCGATGATAATGATGCTATATCTGCATCAGAGTATAGAAATGTTATAAAATTGCAACCGATGGACATTCATGGAAGACCATTAATTTCGAATAAAAAAGGCGATGAATTTGCGAAGGAATATTTTAAACAATTGACAATTTCATGGCAATAGATTGAAATAAATACATATTATTTAATTAAAAATATTTTTTATTGTCTATTATGAAATTATTGATAATAATTGAAACTTAGAATCTCAAAATTAAGATTATAAATTGTTAAAAATACACACATACTTTAGTTTCAAAACGTCTGGGCAAAAATCAAATTTTTTTCAGTCGAGCAAAATATTTTAAAGATCGTTTGTCAACTAAAAGAGATGAGACCTTAGGACATTTTAATTTTCAAAAACATAAAAAATATTATCTTTGAACAGCATAAAAATAAGTAATTTGAAATCTGAGCAATTAGTAATAATGTTTATTAAAGCTTTAAACTATAGAAATTTTATTCGGAGTTACATATAATGTATAGGTTTTCAATTCTATAAAATTTATTCATATCCGAAAAATAACCGAAGAAGGGAAAAATATGTATCTCTTCGGGATGAAAATTTCGAATCTATATACATCATTCTTTCTATATTTTTATACAACAGAATTGTAGTGATCTGAGCTTTTTATACAACTTTTTCATTCTGTTCATCATTGATAATGTAGCCAATTATCATAAGGATAGTACCAGCGAAAATATGGAAGTGAATTCCTAAATATTATTAAAACTTAATCAAAAAACAATTTAATTTCTCTTAAATTTAACAAAAATTCTTTACGTTCTCTGAATCTGTCCGGGCACCATTATCTTCCAAGTATCCAAAGTCACATCCATTTGTGAATATTTAGAATTTGCTTGTAACTAATTAAAATGATTATTTTTATCAAAAATTAAATTTTTTACAGTTTCGGGATAATAAGCATTTTGATATCCAGGATAAACACAATGAAAATAATAAGACCAATGCGAAGGTGTATGACGATTTTTCTCAATATTTCGAAGTTCTTTGTTAAATTTAATCATTTTTTTGTCAATTTGGTACTTTTCTCCAACAAATTTTCGTTCCAAATATTTTTGTTCGAAGGATTTGTCTCTGTCCATATTTTATTTTTTCGAAAATTAAAAAATTGATTTTTAAAAATAATTTGACAAAAAGTGAAATTTATTAGAAATAAAAGAAGATAAACTTGAAAGATCTTTATTTAATAGTTTTCATGAACAACTGACAGATTTAAAAGAGTGAGGTCAAAGAACTAGGTAATGTTTGTTTAGATTAAAGATAAAGAATTAAATTTTCTTTTTTTAAATAAATTATATTTTTATTCTAAATATTCACATAAATGTCTATATAATTTAAGTAAGTAAAGTTATTTGCATTCGGTCTCCACCGGATTCAGGTAAAAAAGTTTTCCTGAGTTATTGCCCAATTCAGGATTTTCTCCGAATTGGTTCCGGACTGATTAATCCAGAAAAATTAGGAATCGGTTCAGCTCTAATTACAAATGCGGAATATGTTTTCTAAACCAAAAATGCTTATGCCTGGCACTCATTTTAATATCGAGAATTATTAATGCTATCCAAAAATTAAAGAAAATGTTTTGCCATAATAAAATAACGACGAAGATAAATCATGTAATAAAATAATAATTGTAGGAAGAGTATTATTAGCTTTAAACACTCACAAACAATATTAGTTCAATTCAAACAAATATATAATTCTTCAAAATTACAGGTAAAATTTTATCAGAGCCAAATTAATAAATATAAAAAAATAAATATGTAGTTAAATTTTAATCTATACAATATTTTTATTTCCTTCATTATTTTCAACAAAACCGTTATTTAATTTTATTCCAGCTGTGTTATTTGTTTGATCATTCATTGAGGAAAATTCACCGATAAATTTAGAACACAAATTTAAACCAAAAATTTCAGACAACGTTGGGATTGATGTAATTTTCTAATAAATAAAGTATTAAGAAGCAAAACAAGGTTCGCTGGAGAGGGAATTTCAATTCATTAGAGACTAGAGTCGGGCAAATTTATAAACTTATTTTATTATTCCTTATGGTTGCTAAAGGCAAATAATTAACGTTGACGTACAAATATAACCCTTACCAACAGCTATAGTTAAAAGTAAGCTCGAATTTCCGAATTTAAACACCTATCGGCCAGTATTGGGGTACCACTGTTCCTCTTAAAATCACCAATTTCTAACACGATTTCTCATAATTTGATATCAAAAAATTCATACATATAGTCAAAAATACATAAAAATTGCTATTATCTTATATTTTATCCCTTGCGGCCTATGACAATCTTGGAAATTAAATTTTTATCGTTGTCTTCTTAAGTATTATTAACCCTTATCACTTCTGAAGTAATTGAATACTTTCTTACTTCACAAACAACAAAAAGTGAAGGCAAAAACAACAAAAGTTGAGCTAATCTTGTATTATTACAATTATCATATGAAATTATTGCATTAATTAAATTTTCTCGAGCCTGAGATATACTTAAAAATATAAAAATAAAATTACTAACAAAATTTTATTTTTACATATTTTTTGAATTTTCAGAAATTCCAACAATATCAGGTTGGAGTAATAAAAGCGCTTTTAAAAAGGCAAATTCTGATTGTTTAATGTTTATTCTCAATAAAGGTTGAAGTAATTCGACCTGTAAGAAATTTTTTTCATTTTTATTAAATGTAAATTCTCTAAAACAGGCCATGGTAGTGGGTTTTTGATGATGCGATTTCTTAGTTTTAGTCCAAGAAATTCAAAGTCAGGAAAATCAAGAGTATTAGATGTTATGGGAGGATTTCGCCAGGAGACACTGTGAATTTCTTACCCTTATTTGTTAGTTTGGATCCCAAAGGAAAATTTCTTGATATCTGGATCCCTCAACTACTGATCGGACCAAAAAATATTTGACGTCTGAATATCAAATACTTGGTCAAATTTTGATTTTATTTGATCAAATATTTTCAAATATCAAATTATTTGTTTAATATTTGATTTTGCCATTTGTCCGGTCTCTACCTCCACCACCAATTATTACCTACTTCAATTTGTAATTGTATTTGTGTAGCAATTTCTATATTTTCTTCTTCTAGATTAGATGGCAAGAAAAAAGAATTGTTTGGAAGAATAATTAGAGGTGAGGATTTAATTGAGCGTTGTAAACATAAAATTAGAATAAATAGGTTAAAACAACGTTGAATAAGTAAAGACTAAAAAATTGAATATTTTAGTTGTATTTAAGTTTGAAAATACAAAAACTTCTGATATGTTTATTAGGCTTACGAAGGACAAAAGTCATCCCTTAGATAGAGAATATTTTCAAGTTTAAAATAAGAATAAATTTCAAACGACCCTCTTTTCATTTCATAATTTTGGAAGGCCAGAAGTCAGATTTCTTCCAATTTTCAGCGCCGAAGACTCACTTCTCTTTTAACAAAGAGAAGTGAGCAAGAACCTGAACTGAAACCGCCAAAATTAAGAAAAGCGGTTCCAGAACCGGAACTGGTTTCAGAGAAATTTTGGAAGTCTCCATTTCCGTTTGTAAGTACTGTACTTCCAAAATAAGTACAAATCCTAACCCTGTCTTAAATCATTTTAACGAAATTTTGTTTTTAAACAAATTAATTTAGATAAATATATTACCTTCTCATTAAAAGGTAATTGAGCAATTGGACTAAATGAATATACCCAGAGTACAATATATTCCAAAGCTTGCAATTTAGAATCTTCATTATTTTGTAATTGAACATTTAAATCTATTTGTATCTTAATTTAATTTAATTTTTAAAAATATTTTTTGAGCAATTACCAATTCATCTAATAAATTTTTCCCATTTAATTTCTCTTCTATTAACAAAGAAAAATTGTTATATTGTAAAGGAGGTTTAGTTATAATTGTGTTGGTATTAAATAAGTTAAATGATGCTGAAGTAGGATGATATTGTGGCATACAAGTATATGAACGTGAACGTAAATCGTTTAATTTTGACCCATTATCTGAAACCGAATTTTTGGCTCCACGATGAGTAGATCCAATACGATCACCTAAAAAGTTCAACAGAAAAAATATAAGATTAGATATTAATAGTTACGTTCGTTTTGTATTGCTTCAATCCTCATTCCTTCAATCAGGCATTTTTTGAATCGGCATGCTCTGCAAGCATTACGGCGAGTTTTGTCTACTTTACAATTATTTGAGAATCGGCTAAATTAAATAAGAATATTTCTATAAAAAAGATTTTTAACCAAGAATATTGTAAATTTTGCCAAACAGTTCTTCGAAAAAATCCTTTACAACCATTACATGAAACGGCACCTCAAAATAAAATACTACTTACATATATTAAATTATCTGAATATTAGAATTTCATAGCTCTTGCTTCGCTAGTATAGATAAATTTAGTATATCGAAGTAAAGATAAATTTCTAATTAACCGCGGATTCCCTCTTGTAATGCCCACATACCGCATTCATATTTCCTACGGCAGCAATTAATTATGGAACGACAACAATAGGTAATTCCATGCTATAGGTAATTCCCTGGCCATGCAGAAGAATTATTCCAACAATCATTCGCCCCAACTACTTTGGCAGCGAACCATCCTATTCAACAGAAAGCCTATGTGAGTGCCCGCACGCTTACTACATCAAACTTTTCTTTTCTACAAATTTCTATAGATAATTTTAAATTATAGGGATTTTAGAAATACTAAAAGGCACTGGTAAAGATCACTTTCTATGATCTCCAAAATTGAGGTTATTTTAGAGAATAACACTCCGCACAAGAACTAAATGCTATAGTTAATCCCAAATTAATTTTTAAATGATAAATTCACCATAATGTTTTCCAATAGCTTTATCATTACAAACAACACAAAAATCTTGTTGTTGTTCATTATTCTGTTGAGAATAATTAAATTTAAAATTATTTAACTGTTCATTATTTAATCTCAAATTATCAAACAAATAAGAATTAGGAATTGTTGATAGACATTGAAGTTGTGTTGAAGTTTGAATTGTTTGTGTCGTTGAATTCGGGTTGAAAAGGGGATTTTGAAACATTTTAAATTTTTGTTTGTAAAATATTTAAAAAATAATTACAAATCTATTTTAAGCAAATTATTTATAAAATCACAGAAAAAAATCACTCATTTGAAAGAGACTGCAATTTGAGAGATACAGCTGGGGGAGAAATTTTCAAATAACCCAAAAATGATAAATGAAAGAATGCCGAACACTACGGAGGAGATAATAATTCTGAGTAAAAGTGTAAATTTAATGCGTGCAAACTTTCATTAAAGTCTGCTTCTCATTTTGAGCTTCTTGTTTCAATAATCAACTCAAAATTTATCTTTATTAATATTTAATAAACATGAGGAAAAGAATTCTTTAAAATTACTTTTATTCAGACTATGACATGGATACGGATATGGACACAGATATTGTAAAAATGACTGCGGATATCCGTCTGTATCCTCTGTAAATCTCCGGACACGGATACCAAAAATCAGTATCCGTGTCTTAGTCTGCTTTCATTGACAATTATCAATGATCAACGAATAAAATAAGAATTTATTATCCATGTTAATGGGAGGCTATAAATTAATTTTTTTAATAATTTTTAAAAATTCTGTTGATTAATAATTAACAAAAATTAATTAATTAATCTTAAAAAAATATTGCAACATTAAAAATAGAGTAATTAAAGTCCCCCGTTATTTTCACTCACTCCTCTCTTTTTTTGATTATTTTCTGCTTTTGTCGTTCATTTTTGGTCAATGCTCGATGAATGACAAGGGGAAAATTTTAGGAATGAATCGGAAAGAATGAAAATGTTTAAACAAACATAGAGACAGCCGTAAAGACCGCACTGTTCGGTGCGATCATTTGACGTCACTGGACTATGCTCTCTGAGACCAAATTTGTGTGGCAACAGTTTTGTGCTTTTTACGTGAAAAATTTAAAAAAAAAAGAAAAAGTGATGGAAATTTTTTAAAATTGTTTATATTTTAGTATATCCTATATCTTTAATTTAAAAAATAATTGTTAGTGTATTTAAAAGATAAAGTGATTTTAAATATCTTCAGTTGGCAAAAATGCCCAAAAATTTCATTTCTTCACAGAAATGCCTTTTGCGGACATATACCTAGATAGCAAGCTGGACTTTTACCATGCAACAGGAAGGTGCAGTGCTGTAAACGCTTTAAGTCTTGGTGCTAAAAAATAATAAAAAATAACAATGTGTTTTTTAAAAACATTATTTGTTTAAAAATAATAATTAATTATAGCGAAATAATAAAAAAATATTATTAATCTTCGTTTATTTAAGCTTATTCTACATTTAATTAAACATTATGCATCCAATATAGTTTTTAATTCTTCAGATAAAATGAACCGGAATTTTTATTCTCAACTTTGTAATTAACAGAGATATGGATGGATTATAGATCAACAGAGTTATATAGGGTTTGCGAGGAATTACCTATTTTGGGAATTAATAGAGACTATCTTAATCCGCCTACCACACTTATACACCTATCCTCCCTTGATCCCTCCAAATCCTCTGATCCGATATTTCTTCAAATCCATATTAATCCAGTAAATCCAAAGATCTTCTTCTCAATCACTATATTTCTAGGTCTCATTTGGAAAAAATTAAATTTTATTAACAAATTTCTTTGATTTTTCCGGTTAGACTATTAAAGGGCATTTTTAAATTATTCATGTGAATTACCTTTGTATTTTAATTTTTCTTTGACAAATGGATTTCCCAATTACCCCTCTAACATTTTGGCAGACAATAACAGAGTCACAGGGAATTCCTTTTTATTAATTTGGCAAGATGTCATTGCGGACAAGTTCATAATATGATGTAATTATTCAAACTTTTAATCGAGATATTTCCACGGCATTGTAATTTAGAATTATTTAAGTGTGGGTTAAAGAGTTGGAATAAGATGGACATATTTTTTAATAATATTTCAACAAATAGGAGCCTGAGGATAGACTATCATTTATCAGCTACTAGATTGGGATCCATTTGAAATGTTATAAACACATTTGTCATCGTCAGCTTACTGATCGCCTAGTTCCTGCCTCTTTGTCTGTTCAACCTCCCATTCCACCATCACCTACATTTGAACACTACATTATGGATAATGTAAATCTTGGACAACACTGACACAACAGAATTAGCCTCGAAAATTACATTAAACCTAATAATTATAGAGATTGGACTATAAATAAGGCAGAAATTGATTTTTCAATTTAATTTTATTCCTAATTCATACATATTTAGAATTATGTAATATTTAAAAAAATTATTTAAAAAATTATTTTTAAAAAATTTAAATTTAATGCACTTTAATTTCATTGAATTAAGTAAAAGCACTTTGCTGGGCATATGCTCTATTAGCCTTGTGTTTGTGAAATTTTATTAAGAAAAAACCCCATCATGCCTAGACATTTCGCAACTTAATTTGATAAAGTCATTATATAAGCACTTGAGGATTCTTAGACATCAAGTCAAATTTTAATTTAATTATAAATTCTTTTAGTTTTCTTGTTTATTATTATTTTATTAAATTTTGCTTCCAACGGTTTAGGGAAAATATTTCAGATATAATCTTCCATATCTTGGGGTGAACGTCAAGCCTTGACTGGCAGTTTTACTAGACGCCTTTCACATTACGTTCAGTTGCTCTACCGGCGATCTAGGACGATAAGCTTCCTTTAGAGCTGGGTCAAATCATATTTTAAAAAAGAAACAGAAACTTTTCAGGTAAAGAGGATCTAAGACATATCCTCGAGTCTATCCATAGCGATTAATTAAACGCATCTGATAAATAGTTTTTGATTCCAGTAACTAGAAAACTTCCCCTTTATCTATCTAAAAACTATTTAATTTAATTTAGATATCATTTTTAAATTAAAAATGAAATTTGCACTTTTGATAACGTTAACCATTTATTCGACGAATGCCATGGTTAATGTCGTTCCAAGCGTAAATCCCCATGTTTTTGTCAGAGAGATAAATGAACTGAGACGTCATAACAACTACTCGCCACCTCAAGGCTTTCTGAATAATACAGGCTCGGAACAGATCAGTTTGAAACGGAAAAACAGTACGAAAATATTATTCATATTAACCTAGATATTTAGTTCTGGGCTATTATTTTCTAGAATGGATTACAGAAAATATTAAAATTTCTCACGAACCCAGACAATACTGTCCCGAAATGTTGGAAATCTAAATTAAAATTAAAAATTTATAATTTATTTTAGCGGACCGCAAAATTTCTCGAAAGTTCAAGAATCTCTCGATTACGGCAAAAGCATCTCAATCCGATTTCCATAAATTTGGTGCTGGTGCCATAGAAACGCGAAATTCGCGTAAGTCGTTTTTTGTTTTATTAATTAGGGGAAGCTCTGACCATAGGGGAGGCTCGGATCTCAGAAAGAATCAGTTATTTTTTTCTGACCATCGGAACTGTTTTACCCCAAAATTTAAATTTTAGCAAGTGACACATCAGTTTGACTAATTATTTAAATTTTTAGCACCAAATTTCAACGGGGCAGTTGATGATTACACAATGAAAGATCAAAAGGCTAATGAGATTCATGGCCTTTTGACCGATCAGCAAACAAGTCGAGAGAATTACAATAAAGAGAAACTGAAATCTTCACATTTTGAAAATAAAACAAATACAATTGAGGTAATAATTTTTGAGTTAGGGAGAGATATTGGTCAAACATTAAACTGGGCTGTTATTAATTTCTGATGAACCACTCTTGTTCAAACAGTTCCAAACTTACGATCTATGACCAGAAGTCCATTGTTAACCAATTTAACGGGAGCTAACTCATTTAGGGCACACTACTCTCAAAATTCGTGAACCATGCCAATTTTCTAAGTAATACCTTCGAATTTGTACGTTATTTTTACAGAAAAACGGCAGCGTTTCGCCAATCGACAACAGAACTTTAGCCAATGAAAAGAAAATCTTTAATCCAAATAAAATTCAGCCTTTAAACATTCACTTATTGAATGGGCATGAACATAAAACTTTGGATAAAGGGGGTCACAAAAATCACATTTCAATTGAAAAAAGGGCTAATTCTGCACCTGTTATTGAGAACAAAGAAACTGAGTTATCACAAAACAGTGATTTGGAAATTAATGGTAATTGTCTAAGCTAAAAACAATTTTTAATCTAAAAACAATTAAAGAATTCAATGCTAAAGAAGTTAATAATTTCCTCCATGTAATGAATCGCTTCATTTCAATTGGAGGACATGCTATGAAAGATCTGATGGATGTTCATGGAAGCACAATGAATAGCCAAGAAAGAATTAGCTTCATTTATGCTGTTAAAACGTCTAGTACGGAAAGAATGTTTAATATTGTTAAAGATATAATGAATATCTTTGAAATGAATGGTAATTATTGTTCTTGAATTATTGCCTAAAAAGTACTGGGATATTTCCTTAATAGCTTTACATGTCCAGACATATAAGGTAGTTTCCTCCGAACCTCGAAGAAAAAACAGCAAATGAACACGATCAGTCTCATTATTAGAGTTCGAACCCGGGCCGGGCCCGGACCGGTTTTTTCCGGTGGCCCGGAACCGGGTATTTTTGAGAAAATCCGGTTTTCCGGGCTAACCGGTTTTTCCGGTTTTATCCGGAAAAGTTTTTCCGGTTTTATCCGGAAAAACCAAATTCTCCCGATATCCCTATTAATCACCATCAGTGGATTTAAGTTAAAATTCGGATTTGAAGGGAAAGGCAAATGTCCAGTTGATGTCCTACCTGTCCGCAAAATTGGATGCGTACTTTTTTTCTCTTTTCTTGCATTTTTCCCTCTATGAGTGGCGCCCGATTTTTCCTTTTCTGCTATAGTATACTTTTTGGCACTTAGAAAAAAAAGGAGGAAAATAATTGTAACTAGGGTTGTTCACGACCGGTTTTAAAACCGGAATTTTTGAAATTTTTTGCCTAAAATTAACCGCTTTTAGAAAATTTTAAAAACAGAAAACCGGAAATTTGTGAAAATGAACGATTTTATTAAAAATTTCCTCAAAATAATACCGGTATTTGTCTAAAACTCAAAACCGAAAACCGGGTTTTTAAAATTTGGATTAACCGAAAACCGGGGTACAGGTTAATAACCGGTAATGAACAACCCTAATTATACTAATGGAAATAAATATTTTATAAATGATCAAGGATGAAAAATTTGGGATAACATTCTCAAATAGATTTTCATTTTTACATTTTCATTGTTACAATTATTTTCCTCCTTTTTTTTCAAAGTGCCAAAAAATATCTATAGCAGAAAAGGAACAATCGGGCGCCGATCATAGAGGGAAAAATGCAAGAAAAGGGAAGAAAAGTACGCATCCAATTTTGCGGACAGGTAGGACATCAACTGGACATTTGCCGAAGGGAAATCGTAGGATTAAGGGGGATAATATTATATTTGGAATTATTATGAATCCCTTCAAATTCATAATCTTATATATCCCTCCAAATCACTGATATCACATGGAGGCTTCCCAAATACTTTAAATCCACTTATTTTACCAGACTACAAATTATTTCAAAAATTGCGGATTGCGGCTGTGGAAAATTTTTTTCACTTGCGGACACCCCTGCTATATATCCTTTAGCGCATCTATCTTTTATTCATCTATCCTTTAATCGATCCCTTGTATGTTATCCGATCCTTTGTATGTGTGATTTTTTTTATGTTTTTAATAAATTTAGAAAAAACCGGGTCCGGGCCCGGGTCTGAAGAAATCCGGTTTTTCCGGGCTAACCGGTTTTTCCGGTTTTATCCGGAAAAACCGGTCCGGGTGCAATTTTGAGAAAAAAAAACCGGGTCCCGGGCCCGGCATTTTGAAAAGTTCGAACTCTACTCATTATTATGCCCCTCCAATCTGCTAAATTCTTAAATAAACTAGATAGATCTATAGTTCGATAAAGTAAAAAATTAAAAATCGAGCAAGTTCAGATGTCCAAGTGTTCAAAATCTAAAATGAATGGTTTTGCCCGTCTTACTTTATTTATCATCCGCATTCATATAAAAATTAATTTTAGGCATTGAAGACGTCAAAGGAGTTTATTCTCAATTAACTTCGTGGGCTTTTGGCACATTTGCATGCAATCTGCCTTACAGCATTAAAGAAAACAATGGTGATATTGTCCCATTCCCGACATTTGCAGCGGAAAGGGAATTGAAAATGTTGTTGGAGATGATAATATATTAGTATGTTGTATAGAAAGGGAGGGAATATAAGAGGGAAGGAGAGGGGACAAGAGAGGGAGGGAGGTGGGGATTAAATTAGGGAAATAACTTTTGAATAACAATTCTGGATTGCCATAGGAAGCGGCCATAATCTAAATTAAAAACAATAAACTTTACTACTACGGGGAAAAATCGTGTTGGTAAGACCCTGATATGAGATGATTTTTAATTGCTTTTTCTTTTAAGCAACAAAGAGAATTATGGGAAAATCAAACAAAGTGTCACTGAAATAATAAAATATATTTCTGAATTATTTTCTGAAGAAGAATTCTACGACGGAGGTTTTAGTAATGTATTTAATATTCCCAATCTCAAAACAACTCGAATCAATTCCGCACCAGCAGCAATTGAGTTTCACGAATATTTGGAAAATTTCCCTTATGATTTTGAAATGAAAGTTAAATCGCCCGGAATACAAAGTAAAATTAAATTTAACGTGGTTTAGCAAAAGTTTAGCCACCGGGCAGGATTGAACCTACGACCTTCTCGTAGTTATTGCTAGGCACTGACGATCACCGCTTATAGGAGCTTTACCACTGAGCTGCATCGACTAATGCCTCTCATAGTTTTTTATTCGATATCCATTAAAGGAATTATCAAACATACGATTATCATCTTCAATGGCACCTTAAGAAGACGCCCTTTAATAAAATCGTATCTGGGATACAATGGAGTTTTAAATATTTTTACAGATTCGAGTCATAAAACTTCAAAAATAAATCTACTCTCTCTCATTTATTAAAGTCGCTTATAAAAAAATTTAACTTTTATTTAACAAAATAAAATTAAATATTTCAGCTTTTAACCCTCACGAAATAAACAATTACATAATTAATGTATTGAGATATTCTGAAATAACCACAAATACTCCAAAAGAAATGTTGCAAGAAGCGGGCCAATTTTTTATTGAAAAGAAACAAAGAAATGAATTTGTTTCGTTTTTGGAATATATTAAATCAACCAGATTAGCTTTAATTAGCAAAGATTTGTTTGATATTTTTGAAATGCATGGAGTCGTTGAAGGAGAAAAACGATCACAAGTAAATAGAAAATAATTTTTTTCCTGGACATCCTGACAGGATTCGAATTTGTAGCATTGCTCCCAGTGATAACGCTTGACACGCTAAGTGCCAGATTACCTAACATACGGGGCGAAGGATTTTGCTTTCTCTTTACTTCTTATAGTTAAACCACGCTTTGCAAAATTTAATTTAACCCAAAGCTAATTTTTGTTTCAGAAAATATTCTTATAATAAAGCTGAACTGAGGTACGAACAAAAATCTTGGTAATCAAAATTTCTAAATTTTCCGAGATAGAGATATGAGTCTTGTACGATCCCCCCAGTCCTGTCTCTAAACTTCTCCCCCTCCCCTCCATATTCCCTTCGAAATTTCAATAAAAATATTTATTTATTCCAGTTATGCTTCTGGGCAATTAACACATTTCTGTTGAATTTAATCAGTACATCAACAAGAAAAGACCGCAGAGAAATAATTTATTTGTACAAATTCAAAGTTACCAGAGAACAAATTTCGGGAATGATAAAAATGATTTATGAAAGGTAATAAATAATTATATTGAAATAAATCATTATTTTCATTCTAAGCACTACAAATGCCGAGGAAAAGGCAAAAATAAGATGGAGCGCTTTGAATACCGCAAAATATATTTTGGAAATGTTTAAAAAAGGAAAGAATGTTTTTGATGGAGGATGTAAAGAAACGTTTTTTAATGATGAAAAAAGTGAGAAGAAAATCGGAAATAAAAATTTGGAAGGGAAGTCCAAAAAATAAATGAGTGAAAAGGAAAAAGGAATAATGGACAAAGGATATTACGGAAAAAATCCAAATGAAGATGCCAATTTCTGAACAACCAAAATTTTAATTTCTCGATTAACAAACACCAAAATCCCTAGTTTTAGTCCTTTTTGGTGTGTTTGCTGGAAGGATTGTGTGCCTTCTTAATCATCAACTACCCCCCCCCCCCATATCGATGTTGAATAATTTTTGGCTTTAAATAATTTTTGGCTTTGAATCTAAAGTAATTTTAATTGAATTTTTAAGTTGTCCTAAATTGGGTGTCGATTTAGATAAATAAACCAAAAATAGTCATGATATTCGGAAAAATGGAAATAATAATAATTATGGAATTTTTCGTGTCCCCATTAAGATTTGTGGACAGTTGGAAATCTTCGATATTGGATCCGGTATCCGTACCGAAAATTTCCGGATATGGGGCCTTTTTTCGGATCCGGATATCCTGATCCGCCAGCCTTAGTCTCCATATTTTCAAATGCTCTGTTTATTTGCACAATGTCTTCCTACTTTCCTAAGTAAACAGGTCATCTCATAGATTAAAAGCCAGAAAGTATCTAAGCCTAATTCCATCGATACATTCATTTTTATTAGATGTTAGTCAAAAACGCTGAATAAATTCAGCTTTGAATTGAAATAAAATATAGCCAAATTTTGGCTTTTTATTATTAAAAAGAATGAATAAATTTAAATAATTAATTTGTATTTTTTGTGTTTACATAATTAAAAGCGGTAATCATTTCAACTAGGGTAGCTCACCGTCCCCCGTACCCCGAACCCGATGATTTTTTTGGCAAAAACCCCGACCCACACCCCGAAGTTTGCGTATACCAGGAGAATATAATTATTGCTAGATTAGTTTGAAGATAATTAAGAAGCAATTTACTCTAGTTAGATAAGCTTTATGACAATTCATAAAACATATCAATGTGCCTACTTAAGACCCAATTTGGAAACCTTTTTTAATCAGAAATATTTCTGATTTTCAAGCACCCTTAATTTACTCTTATTTCTTCTCAATAACTTTACCAATAAAAAATAGTTCCGGTACGAATACATAAATTAAAATATTTTTATTTCTTTTTTGGACTTTAAACTCAAATATATTGCTAATTGAAATGTTCCCAAATGTGTAATTGGAATTGATATAATGATCGATCAGCTGTCATTCACTCCCTTCCCTTTTTTCTTCCAATTTAATGACTGTTCTCGACCTTTACAAAATGTTTAGTTTCTTCCCCCTGTCATTTCTCCTTTTTATAATCTGATTGACAGACGCTTGATAAGCCGCAAACCACGACCACAAGAGTTTTTGAGACGATCAATTTGCCTTTTAATTAAAAATAAATATTTTTATTTTTATATAAACACATGTTTCTTCGACATTTTTATTAAATTATTATTCGGGTATCTTCCAAAAATTTGTTTGTTCATATGTTTCCACCCACAAAATCATTCACTCTAACTAGTATAGTACAATTATTCCCATGTCAATCACTGCCAACGTAAAAAAACAATCAAATTTCTCAATTTTATTCTCACTTTTTTAATATTTGTCGTTTTGATTGATAGGAATTTTATGTTAAATGTGATTAAATTGTAGCAACAAATAGTGATAATTACCTGAGAGTTAAAAAATCATATAATCATTTATAAATATTATAAGAGAGGCATAGGCTATCACCGATATCAGAAAATTTTATGAACCGACCTTTTATGTCCAAGATCTCAAATCAGAGATATAAAGACACGTTTATGGATATACCGATTGTTCTTACAGACCCTTTTCTATTTTAGTAGATCTTAAACCCTCCCCCTACCTCCATAGAGAGCGTACTACGTGCGCTAGCCATCTGTACTCTCTTGTATCTTCCATTGTTTTAAATATTACCAAATTTTTTTATTTTTACTTAATTTTTTTGTTTAAATTATTTTTTCTAATAAATTTCATTTTAAAAACAATTAAAATTTTCTCCCATAATTATTTTAGAATGTTGCTCTTTAAAAATATTATTTTCCTATTATTTTTCATTTTTTTCCTCTTAAAAACAACATTTTCTAAAGGAGTTTCATTTAATTCCAAAAGCACAGATTACGACCCTTTTCAACTTACACGTGAAGAATTGCTCCAATTAAACGAAGATTATGACCCCGGTTACGAAGAAGATGTTGGGAAATTTGTTGGAGATTTTTTTTCCGATTCTTCTAGTCAATTAATAATTGATTTGGATTTATTTAAACAATTATGGAATGAATTGAATGAAATGAGACAGGCAGCTATTGATGGGGATGTTGATTATATTAGAGTAAGAGATATATATTATTTTTATGTTTAATTGAGTAATTGGATCTTAAATTTTGTGAGCAAATGAAAGATAGAATAAAAAATATACCTAAGTCGATAGTTGATAAATAGGGTTGTCGGTTCCTTGAAATTCTTCTGGTATCCGAAACCGTACCGAAGAACCTAATTAAAAAATTATCGATTCTTCGGTTCGTTTCGGTCCAGAATAGGGTTGCCAGCTCGTTTGACTCGAAACTCGAATGATCGAGCGAGCCGAGGCTTTTCAGCTCGAAAAGCTCAAAAATGAACCGGATCGAAAAAAATCAAGCTCGAAAAATATGCAACGAACGTTGGCTCGAACCGAAAACGGTTCGGTTCTGTCCAAAACAGACAACAAATCTTTGATTTTCTTATGCAAAAAATTTAGATGTATCAAAAATCACGCTCTCATTAACCGAGGATATTTAGGAGAGATCTAGCCTTCTTCCTAACTTTAAAGTACATAATTCTCCACCCAGGCTGCATGAAAAACACAATAAAAATTATCAAATTTATAATATTTTTAATTTTCAGGATATTATCAAATTTTTAGAGCCAATAACCAAATATGATATTTCCGCGGTAAATAAAAATATTATATTTCAATTAAATTAATATCCATCTAATTAATAGCCATGTCTATCAGATTTAACTCATTTCCTTATGACTATCTATAATTATGCAGTAACTGCAAATTCGGCTAGTAAATGTAATAATTGTAGCTGTACAGAAGAATATAGAGAAGAATTTAGAAAATTTCAATGGATTTTTGATGGTTATTTTTAAACTTTTATAAATTTAATTTTTAATAAATTTAGTTGTCGATGCTATGGGAAAGGTTCCAGCAGCGGTTGTTTGTAGGCATTTCAAAATTTTAAAAAATAACGAAATCGGGCTGGCAGGACCCGTTGGATTTATAGGAATAGATAAGACCTAGGCTAGGCTAGGATATCTTTATTCCTAATCGATCAAGTTCTGAAGTTTTTTATTTTGTCCTCATGTGGATTAGGTATATTGTCGAAACACCCAATTTTTAGAAGGCCAACTCCCTCGCTATTCCCTTAGGTCTCTGAAATATCAGGATATCACTAAAATCCTCCTAACTCCATTCAAATTTTCCGATATACGCATAAATTTTCCTTTTCTGCGAACAGGCGAAAATTTTGAAAAACGAGTCGAGTAACTCGAACTCGCTGGACTCGGATTTACTCTCATTATGAGAATAGAAATAATTTTGTAATGAAAATTATTTTAATTATGATCTAATAAATAAGGTTGGCGGATAGTTGGAAATCTTCGGATATCCGGATCCGGTATCCGAACCGAAAATTTCCGGATATCCGGCCTTTTTTCGGATCCGGATATCCGGATCCGCCAACCTTACTAATAAATATTGAAATAATTTTTCATACTTATTTAATTATTTTAACAGCTGGAAATAACTTATGGACGGGTTCATGGGCAACTTGCCGTAAAATATCTGCAAGCAAGAATAAACAAGGGTTCATGATTATATGTATTATCTATATATTTATTTTCTGTTTTAGACAATTATGGCAAGGTCAGTATTGCATGGCACGTTTTCAGGTAAATTTTAAAAATACAAAGTTTAATTCATGTCGACGCAGAAGACCCACAGACAGAAGACCCAATGACAGAAGACCCACAGACAAATGACCCACAGACAGAAGACCCACAAGGAAAGAATACCCACAGACAAAAGACCCACAAATATTTTTTGTTTCCCTTTTATTGTGCATAAATTTTGGCGCGAGGGATGTTCCACGATAAGGGGTTGATCCAACCACGGGCATGTTATTTTAACAATGGAAAATGTTGCAACAACGGGTGGAGATGTCCAACGTTGGGAATATTGTCCCAATTACCGAAGAGCTTGTTTAACGAAGAGGGATCTTGATTTTCCGGATTATCGGGATTTTTATCCGGAAAATACGGTCCATATCGTGTCAAAAAATCTTATCCGATCAGGTACAGATATAAAAAATAGTATAAAAATAGCTAATTGGCGTTCTAAAATTCGTAGAATTCGCACCTGTATCGCTAAAAAGGTAGAAAACTGGCTTCTTGGCCTACCAAAATTTCCAAAAGTCTTGTCTGTGACGATGAAAGGGAAAAGTAGATCAAAGGGATATTTGAATCAAGGGGTATTTAGGATTAACTGGATTATAGCGAGAGTCAGTTAAGTTCACATGGAGGGATATAAAAGGATTAGAAGCGATCAAGGGTATTGGAGATATGCAAGGATATCGGGGATCTTTGGGATAATAGAGATAAGTTAATTATTTCTGAGTAACATTGAGAGATATCAGTGGATAAAGGCGGATTAGTGGTAAAAGCTTAGAAGGTTTACATCCCTTGAAATTTTCTGACATATCCGATTTACTTTCAAAAAAGATATAGTAGTATTCCTTCTCCTGGTTCCTGTTATACACAATTCACGGATAAGAATAGATATCGGTAGATTCGGGACTTTACCCCTATATTCTCTATATCCCACGCTATTTGTCGCTGTAAGAATGAGAGCTGGGTGCGGCGCGACAGGTATGAACCGCACAGCTGTCGGGAGTTGAATTAGACTGAATTAAAATGAAGAGGAGCTGAGCTAGTCGGGAGGTAGCTGAGCTGGAATGTCCCGGGAATCCCTCAATCTTCAAAAATTGATCCTCTCTAGTGGGCGAAAGGATGGAACCAAAGCTCTGTAGATTGACGAGCTTATTGGGTTGCGGCTCTTAAATGGACGAGCGGATTCGATCACACGCTCTTTAGTGGACGAGCGGGATCAGACACGCCTTAGGACGGCGAATTAATAGGAATACCAAGCAAGAAAGAATAAACAAAATATAATATATTTATTCCGGACCTCAAACTTGGGTAATTAAACCATAAAATAAAATGAGTGAAAACACAAACTTAAGTTTGGCCAAGTAGTTTAAGAAAATTTAAATGAATTAAAGGCCAAAACCTAAGTTGGAAAAACTAAATAAAGCGCAGGTGGGGGAAAAATGTGAATAATTGAAGGAGAAAATACACAGAGAATAAAGGAGCTAAAAATAGCTAAAACTTAATGAAAAAATAAAATGATTGAATAAGCATAGGAGAATGATCAGACATGGGGTTAGCACAAAAGGGTGTGGCTAACAAAATATATGGGCAACTGGTACAAACAGTGAAATAATTAGACGGTGTAAAAGATCACCAATAAATTAATCAAAAATATTTAAATCAATCTATGGCAAACGTCGCTTCGGCGACACTGGGGCGCCGGCCACTAGCGGCGAGCATGCCATCATCTGAGTGCCCATTGTTGCAGCAAAGCATATTGATTCTCCAATGCCTATTGGTTTCTCTGTGGGTTCTCCTTTTATTATACTCTGGCAGTAAATATTTTTCCCTTTGATTTTGGTTGCGAAGAGAGAGTCGCATATCGCGGATAGGAGTTTGAAATAAAGCGGACAAAATTGAAAAAATGAATTGGATCGCGGCGAACATGATTTTAACATGCGAGATAATCCATTAGATAAGAGTAGAAGGAATAGCAGTCCCGATCTTGATAAAGTTACAGAATTGACGGGACCATTCCGCTTTATTAAACAGTTGCCGGCGCAGCACAATTCTAAATTGGCGAATTCGCTGGGGCTGATTATTGTAACTCCTTTTTTAGTGAAGAGAAATTGACATTTTGGGCATGTCATATTAATTTGGGGCGATCCATTGATGGATGCAAAACAGAAAATTAATGATGTCACGTTTAGTAGGGTAGACACGAGTGCTCTTGATTTGCTCCTCGTTGTCATTCGATGTCCGGCGTTAGTCTTTGGGTCCCGCACGGAAGTTTCTTGAGTTCCTTCGGTAGCGGTGTCGACTTGAGGTGGGACAATAAACTCTTGTTCAGTTGGTTTTATTTCTAGAGGGTACACGCTATTGACTGGACGCGTGACAGTGTTGCCATTTTGCGGTTTTATTTGAACTCTCCTGGTTGCTCCAGGTTTTCCTCCTAACTTGGCGATACGTTCCATGGGCCATAGATCCTTTGGAGTATATTTTTCTTCTACAATTAAGATTTCGCCAATCCGAGGGGCGGATTGGATTTCCAGTCTCTTTCCTTTATGGGCGGTCTGAGATCTGGACTTTGGTAGAATAGGTCGAGCTAATGCTGGACGCTTGATTTGTTGCGCACGTGGTTTGAGGGGAAGTAAACCATTTTGGGCGGTTTCTAGTGGGTAGTGCTCGGTCACATTTATAGTTTGCTGTTGCGCAATATTTATAAGCATAGAGCCAGCGGTTAGATAATCATTTGCTGAGAATGCGGAGTTTTCTCTACTAGTTGCTTGAGAAATAGAGAGAAGCTCCGGGCGGCGATTCTTTATGAGCAAAGAAGGTTCGCGGCCAGGTTTGATGAATTTAGATTTTAGAAAACGAAGAACCCAAATGGTAGTCCTTATTTTATCCCATGAGTGAAATCTCCCTGTATTGATTAGGATGTTGTTCATTTTAGACTCAGCGGTGGAGTCGGAATTGGGTAAAGTTCTGATTTGCTTGGCGCGGTTTGCTATGAAGACCGGTTGGTGGACAGTTTCCTTAAGCCAGCTAAGGGCAATAGTTGTGTCACTCCAAATGAAGGATTTATCGATTTCCCAGTTTATCTCATTTTGGATGAATTTAGTCGAATTAAATCCAATTAAAATCCCTAGTAGTTCTAATCGAGGTAGGGTGAGTTTCGAGTTTGCTTTTAGTGGGCGAAAACAATTTTTTGAGAGGAACAAGGCGGTTCGCTCCTTTGAAAGATGATGCCTATTGGCGGCAGCTAGGATGTACGGAAAACTAATAGTCCCAAATGCAATTCCGTTGAATCGATAGACAGCTAAGTTGGACGGCGAGAGAGGTTGGTCCATGTTTTTTAGCCAAAGCAATTTACAGAATACGATTAATGAGATTTGATGACAGGCCTTTTCGATGTCGGCCAAAACGGGGATTTCGGTTTCCCGGAAGATGAGTAATTGGTTAATTAAATTGGCAAGTGAAACTAGTCCTCTAAAGAGTGTTTGGTTGAGCGAGGGAAGTCCTTTTCGATGAGCGATTGCATCGTATAATAGGCGAATTTTCCCTTTATTTGATCCTGCATGGTGTGGAAGGATGTGTTTCTGTGCGCTTGTATTGGTTTTTATTACTTCGGTTTCAATTACTTCCAGTTTAAGTTGATCTTCTATTGCGTCATGGTATTCCTGGGCTATTGTGGGCGCCCTTTCTATTCGGTTAGATACTGAAGATAGGCGTTTGGCAGCCATATCAAAATTGGAGGGTAATTCCGACGGGGGTCCGGAAGTTCCTTCTGGTGATTTCCAAGGAAGTCCCACTGTGTATCTCTCATCTGGGTCCTGTTTGATCGATTGATCGACTAATCTTGTGGCGATTTCGTCGTCCCTATTTCCTGGGTTGTCGGTGATACCCATAGACTCAAGGTTCCAAAATTGCTCTATTTTATTACTGGCAGGCATTTCTTCCGGTGAGCTGTGCACGGCAGAAAGAGAAATGCAGGTTAGCGAGGTAGGTGAAATATAATGGGGTAATTCACCGCAGAGCATCGAACCAAAGTGAGTTTTTATAATGTGCAGATTTCTTCCTATTTTCCTGGATCCGAGGAAGAATCTCCAGAATTCTCTAACTCCTAGTAGAATTTCTGGTTCCCTATTTTTGACGGGAATGTTTTTGAGGTCTCGGTGGTTAGTAGGGATCCGAGTTCCATCCCATTGAATACACGGAAATGCCGGGACGATTTGCGGGATTGAGCAAAATACAGCTTCTTCCCATCTCCCATTGGGCTTATGGAGCCTAATCTTGTGTCCAGTTGAGCGAAATTTGACTTTATCGGCGCCAAAAACGCGTACTGAGTGATTGGAGGTAGAAACCCTCGGTGGTCTTAAACGGTCGACCAAAGATTGAGAAATGTAGGAAGTTTGGGAGCCGGTGTCCCAGAGACCAACAGTAGTGTAAATTGGTCGATTATTCCCAGAGCTTAATTTTAGTTTGCAGGTCATCAGAAAGGTATGCGGTTTAGACCCGGTTGCGGTCATAGCCACTTCTGGGTTGGCGGGAACATTCTGGTTTGTTCCGGGTTGATTTTCAGAATTCGTTCGCGAATTTGTATACACTTGCGGCGGTCGGTGAGTCAGACTATTAACCGGTGACAAGTTTTCATTCCCTCGAAAATAGTTATTTTTCTGCTTAGTTGGGTGACTAATTTTTCTTTTGTATTGCTCCCCTTTTTGGCGGGTGCAGATAATAAAGTGGTGCTTGCCGCCGCAGTTCCTACATCTTTTGGTCGATGTACACTGCCCGATTTTATGTCCTTCGCGTAAACAATTCAAACACCTGCGTTGAGCCTGCAAGCGGGTTTTGCGGCTTTCGGGTGTTTGGAATTTGCGGCAAACTGAAGGGAGGTGATCTCCAGTACAAAGTGAGCATTGGCCGACATTCCTTTCAATGGCTGTGAATGTGCGGGTAAAGTTGGATGATGGCGAATGTGCTGGCCGGTGACTCTTTGATTGGCGAGTCGGCTGACTATATTCCCTTTGAATGGACGGGACTCTCAATCTCTTTGTGCAAATTTCCACTTCCTCTCTTATTGCTACTTGTTCTAAAAGGAAATTCCTAAGTTCCTTATGTGTCCAGTCTCCGGCTGGTGAACTTCGTTCCCTCTCTATTATTTTTTCAATAAGAGTGGAAGGAAGTTTGGCCTTAATTGTGGTGACTAGTAGGGACGCGTCTTCTTTTGTGCTGAAATTGCATTCTAATTGTCTGCAAATTCTTTCTATGTTATCGCAAAAGGTGCGAAGCGAATCAGCGGTGTCCTTTGTTGGTGGTAATTGAAGAAGCTCTGATTGGAGAGTTTCTCTGAGGTTCCGGGTACTACCATATCTTCCTTTTAAACATTCCACTATAATCGGGTAATTTTCGGCAATTCTCGGGTATCCTTGGATGGTCGATTCCGCTGATCCCATGAGTGAATTGCATAAATGGTGGACTTTGAGCGCGTCTGGGATGTTTGGATTGTCATGGATGGCCAACTCAAAACATTGCCAAAAACTGGTCCATTTTTCGGGTTCCCCAGAAAATTTCGGAATTTCCATGGGAGCGATTTTAAAAGAGTCGTATGCTGGGTTACGCGGTAATTCTTGTTGGTTTGGTCGCTGGGAATGATGCGAGTGTCGGGATCGTATGGAGGCGCTCCGTGATCTAGTCCTGGACTGAAGATTGCCGGAAGTGCTATCCCGTTTGACTATTTCATCGATTGTGTCGATGATGGCCAGGACTTCCACGACCCATTCGGTAAAATGTTTGTAGCCCGCTAGGAGGGGGTCATCCGGTGCCGGGCGTTGGAAGTTTTCATAAATTCTTTCCTCCGCCGGTAGGTTTTCCCGTTTCATTTTTCTCATAAAATCCTGCCATTCCCGGTTTAAATTTTCTAACCTTACGGTATTACTGGCCAACTGCTTCCGAAGAGTGCGGAGTCTTTGTAGTTGCTGTTCTTCTAACACCTCTTGTTGGGCGGTGATGATGTTGGTAGCTTCATTGAGGTTGGTTTTGAGTTGTCTGATGGCTGGGACGATCATTTTGCGGATTGGTCCCGACGACATGATGGATGAAATAAAGTAGATCTGTTGAAATGTAGAGACGGTTGATTAGAAGAGTAGTGTAGACTGTAGAGTTGTAATGGAAGAGTAGTTCTAACGTTGATGATCTAGTTGGTTGATCTGTAGAACGTAGAATTGAAGAGTCGAATGATGTGTCGACAGAAGTAGTGTTGAGTTGAATTGGTGGCTGGAAGTTGCCTGGAGGGATGAAAAAACAGAAGAAAAAAAATTATTTAAATTTAATTTAATTGAAATTGAATGAAGAAAATGAAGAGAAGAGGGTCCCGGGTCGTGGCACCAAAAAGTTTGTCGCTGTAAGAATGAGAGCTGGGTGCGGCGCGACAGGTATGAACCGCACAGCTGTCGGGAGTTGAATTAGACTGAATTAAAATGAAGAGGAGCTGAGCTAGTCGGGAGGTAGCTGAGCTGGAATGTCCCGGGAATCCCTCAATCTTCAAAAATTGATCCTCTCTAGTGGGCGAAAGGATGGAACCAAAGCTCTGTAGATTGACGAGCTTATTGGGTTGCGGCTCTTAAATGGACGAGCGGATTCGATCACACGCTCTTTAGTGGACGAGCGGGATCAGACACGCCTTAGGACGGCGAATTAATAGGAATACCAAGCAAGAAAGAATAAACAAAATATAATATATTTATTCCGGACCTCAAACTTGGGTAATTAAACCATAAAATAAAATGAGTGAAAACACAAACTTAAGTTTGGCCAAGTAGTTTAAGAAAATTTAAATGAATTAAAGGCCAAAACCTAAGTTGGAAAAACTAAATAAAGCGCAGGTGGGGGAAAAATGTGAATAATTGAAGGAGAAAATACACAGAGAATAAAGGAGCTAAAAATAGCTAAAACTTAATGAAAAAATAAAATGATTGAATAAGCATAGGAGAATGATCAGACATGGGGTTAGCACAAAAGGGTGTGGCTAACAAAATATATGGGCAACTGGTACAAACAGTGAAATAATTAGACGGTGTAAAAGATCACCAATAAATTAATCAAAAATATTTAAATCAATCTATGGCAAACGTCGCTTCGGCGACACTATTCCTACATATCCCAACTAATCACTCGGCTCTTAAAATCACTTTCTAATTAAATGATCTAAATCGCACTCATCCATAAAATTTAACGCTAAAAAATTCTTTTGATTAACTTTATAATAAATTTTTTTTATATTTTAAAATTTATTACTTTTGTGTCTTGAGAAATTGGAAATCTTTTTCAGGAATTTCAGAAAATTTCTTCTAAAGTTATAGATAAAAAATTTTTTGTGGGTCTTTTGTCTGTGGGTATTCTGTCCTTGTGGGTCTTCTGTCTGTGGGTCTTTTGTCTGTGGTTCTTCTGTCCTTGGGTCTTCTGTCTGTGGGTCTTCTGTCACTACGCCGTTTAATTAATCAAATTTTACTTAATAACAGCCCTACAATCGACACAGCCCTTTAAAAGCTTTTTCTGGCCAACCAACTGATCCTACTGCAGTGTGCAGGTATACACTGACAAATGAGGATTTTTATTAGGCAAATGACCGATACTGTATAAGATGAATGAACTTGAAAAGCAGTACTTTCAAGTGGGATTGCATTAAGAATCTAGAGGAGAATCATATATAAAATTTACAGACTTCGAAAAAATTTCCCCGGAAAGTCGAAAAAGTAGTACCTGTTAGACAGGTCGAAAAGTTTCCGAAAACATCAGAATTTCGAAAAATGCCGAAACATGTCAACTGAGTGAGAAATTAAGCTATTTTTTAACATTAAGAACTGCCAAATCGGATAACGAGATCTGAGTTACATAGAGTTTACCCCTTTCTTAACTAAATTGCCGCCACTGTATGTACATGAACTGGTACTTTGTTAATATCACACCCAGACCCTTATTTGGGTCTCAGATTAATTTTCCTTTTTCTTTCCTTTTAATATTCGAGAGAATTTATAAATTATTAGTCAAAGCGTTGCTCTGACTGCCAAAAATATTCACACCAACCAATAGTCAACACGATTTTTAGATCCAATTTTTTATCTTAAAATTAAAATATATTGATTAATACATACCTTTCAATTTAGAGGTAATGCAACAAAAAGCACTCATTTCGACGATTGGAGTGATTATGAAAAAACTTGTTTTGACATGGTTGTTTGACATAGGCATTTTAAACTTATTTTTTTTTTAATTTCTAGATGCCTCTATTAAATCTAGGTCTATGTACACCGTAAATTTTATTAATTTTTCCTTAATAATCACAGTTTTAAGTGATTCCTGTACTGATTACGATGTGAGGAAAATTGTCCAATTCGGTAAAAATTTTGGGAGAAAATAATTTAAGAAAATAATTTTTCAGTTTACGAAAGTGCTGAACTTGCACTAAATACGAAGCTTGTCTGCAATGTAAAATTTAAAAATTAAAAGATACTAGTAAGGGTTTTGGTTTGTAACCGAGCCAAATAAACGAGGATATATCGTTTCGAACTCAAATATCTGAAGATTCTCCAAAAACCAACAACAATTAAAATAATAATCCATTAAAAACTTAATTATTTTTTGAGAAAGAGTGTTGTTAGAATCAACATACCGTATTTTCTCTAAATGAGCGGCCCCTCCAGTTGGGGCCGCATAATTCATTGGAAGAAAGTATATTCTAAATTTTTGACAATTTTTTGGATTTTCATTATTTTTCATATACTAATTCCCATATTTTCAGGTGTCTGTACAGGTAATAAGTATTATAAACATGCTATTTAATTAATTAAAAAATTATATGATATTTTAACCCTAATCTTTTTATAGTGTAGCAATTCTAGACCAGAAAATCAAATTTATCATGACCAAAAGTCTATGGCTGTTCTGTTAGCTTCAATTTTCCATCAAATTTATAAAAAATTTTAGATTTTTACTTTTTGCAATAGCTTCTTTAATGTTATTCGGCACTTGTTATGATGTTTATGTACACAGACCGCTAGAAAAAAGTTTAAAAATTCAAAGACTAAAATTAAATGGAGGTAATGGAAAGCCTGTTAGTGTAGAGCCACAATCAAAATTTGTTACGATTATTAGGCTATTTTCTGTGGTAATTTAAACAAATGTATTTGAATTTTTGTTAAATATAGGCTCGTAATTTGGACTATATTTTGGACACAAGAATGGAGGAAGGACAGATTCGGTGTTTACACGGTGCCAGATTCCTGAGCATGTGCTGGGTTAGTAAATATAACTATTTTTAATTTTTTAGTGTGAAATTTCACGTCGTAAATTCAGCAAAGTATTTAACTTATCAGGTTAAAAGCCTTGAACTTTTAAGTCCTAGTGGTCCTTTTAAGTCTAACACACAAGTCTTTGTCAAGCTTTTTATAACTTTATATTTTTAGGTCATCTTTGGACATACTGTAAGTTCTTCAATTAAATATGTGCAGGTTGATCACAGTCTGAGGAAGGATATATTTTTAATTTTTCACGATTTAAGATATACTTATGGGATCTTGTTTAGGAAATTTTATACCCGATGTCTTCTATGAAATTACGATTTCTTATGAAATATAAATTTTTCTGACCCCAAGGATATGTTTTATGTGAGATATAAAGGTCACTAGGAATTGAGTTATTGAGATCACTATAATAGTAAATATGTTTAGGACCTAAATATATAATAGTGAGGTTCAAGTGTATTTTAATAGTATTCTGTAAAATATTTTTACAAATTTTACAGTACTACTATATCTGTACAAGTTTAACAACTGGTAATTTATTTAATCAAGAAATTTTTTTAACTAATTAATAAAGATAATTTACTTCAAACCATGCAAGAATTTACCAAATTTTTCTATAATCAAATGGTTGTACAGGCACCCCTAGCTGTAGACTCTTTCTTTTTACTTAGGTAAACGAAAATTCGAGGTTTGCTTGAAATAAATATTTTTAGTGGATTGCTTACTTCTTATATTTTTCTTGTTAAACTACAAAAGAAACAATTTCGGTTAAATTCATTCAGCACCTGGTTAGTTTACAACCAAATTTGTTAAGATTTAAAGAATTATTTAGACATCGGAATAATTCTTGTGATTAAATACATATAATGATTTTATTAAGTCTTTTCTCGGTTTCAAACATAACAGAAGATATCCGATCGGGTTTTTCGGTTCCGGTTAACGAAGAATTTGGTGAAACCGAAAATCCCTCTATAGTATAACGTCCTCTTGAATATCCTAAATTAATGATCGAGCATTCTTTTAAATTAGTTCACACACTTTTTAATATACGGTGCTCCACATAACTATACTTCCACCCTTATTTTCGTGTTCGTGTTTAGACCCCTAAAATTTTTTAGATTATCGTTTAATTATTGTCCTCAGGTCCAATTTAAATTTTTCATTAAATCTTAACTTATCTACTTAATCCGATTGTGTTATTTATAACGAATATACAACTAAGCTTGCAAAAATTATACGAGTACTCATTTAACAAACATGTATTTATCTAAAAAATATTTTTTTAATCCTCAGGTTCGCTTATTATGTACGCAGATATCTTAGGTTAAACTTCTTTTAAAAATTATTTTTATTTGTATTTAGACTTACGCCTGTATATTTGTTTGTTATGATATTATTGGGTTTGGTTTTTAAAAAATATTTTTAAATTTTTAATTAATATATATCAGTAACTGTACTTAATTACATCTCTGAAGGGCCTTTCTGGCAGCCTATTGTAACTTAATTAACCAGCATTCCTCTAATTCTTTCCTTTAAGGACCCAAACTTTTGTAGAAATAGTTGGTGGACAAATCTACTTTACATTAACAATTTTGTTTTACAGGCAGATTCGGTTATCCATACTTTATTTTTATTTTAATATTTCCAAAACTTAAGTGTATGGGATGGACATGGTATCTAGCTAATGATTTTCAGTTATATGCGTTTGCGCCAATTTTAATAATTGCTCTACATAGGTAAAAATATGGCTCCCATACAAAATACCGAATTCTTAAAATATGGAATCTCAAAATCGCGAATCGGCTAAAAAAGCTCAAAATATGGAATCTCAAAATATCGAATCTCAAAATATGGAATCCCAAAATATCGAATCGGCCAAAAAAGCTCAAAATATCGACAATGCGGCAAAAGCCAGTTGAGTCTGAACAATTTTATCAACAACTTCGAAAAAAATTTAAAAATATGCAAAAGGGTTTTTCTAGGGTAAAAAAATATGCTGATTACGAATCTGAGCTCGGATTTTGAAAAAGTCGAATCCCAGCCCCGAACCGAGCTTCGAATCCCGAACCGAATTTCGATTTTCCGAATGATAGCTCATTTGAAAGAGCACGACGAGCTGCATCGACTGATACCAAAATCAATGAAATCCGACTTTATTGGACTGAGATACAGACCCCTGAATAAACTGAAAAAGACCTGCATTCAATTGGCGGCACTCAAACGGCCCTTTTCGATTTAAAAAATTCGACATTTTTAACTACTTTTTAGCCGATTCGGTATTTTGAGCATTTTAGCCTATTCGAGATTTTGAGATTCGATATTTTAAGATTCCATATTTTGAGCTTTTTTGGCCGATTCCATATTTTGAGATATTTTTCCCGATTCGGTATTTTGAGCTTTTTTAGCCGATTCGCGATTTTGAGAATTCAGTATTTTGTGCGGGCACGAAAAATATAAACATCGGAGGGGGGGGGAGTATCTCGATGTAGTTTAAATTTTTCGGGGTTGTGGAATTAAAATTATTTTTATGATTTCTCGTCGGGGCATAGGATTATAAATATAGTCTGATCCTAAAAAATTCCGGATATCCAAAAATTCTTGTTTCGGATATCGGATCCAGATATCCGAAGATTTCTTAGGATCCGCCAATAATTATAATCAATAATAGGGTATGGGTCAGGGGTGGGGTCAGAACTACTATATGTCCACTAATAAATTATTGATTGATGATAGACTACACGATTATAGGAGAGACAAATATCGGGTGAGGGGTGTTAGAGGAATTTTTCCCTGGCCGGCCGGAGGGGGCTGGCCTGAGCGGTCGGTCAATTGGTCATGCGACAAAATGCCACATGACAAAACGTACTGGGACAAAATGTCAACTGCCAAGTTGCCAATTTTTAAAAATACTTTTAAAATAAAAGCCGCTCGGCAGTGATCGAACTGGCGACCTTCTCTGTATAGGCGGATGCTCTACCAACTAAGCTATTAAGAAGCTAAATCAATTTTACTATTAATGCATCATGAACCTATTGGAAAGCTTTTTTCCTATTGAACTGTTGAATACTTTAAATGTCCTTTGTTCAAATTTCCAAATCTACCAAAAACTCAAAATTTTTGATTGATTGTTAAAAAAAGCAATGATTTAAAAAACTAACTTTTTCAAAAAAATCTGATTTTTCGTCACTTTATAGATCATAACTTTTTTTACCAGTAGCCTATTTAATGCTCTATCCAATGGTACCTAGAGCAAAAAAATAGTGACCTTTCCTTCGTAAGTTATAGGGTCCGGGACTCAGTTGAGTTGGTACTCAATTGAGGTGTACAGTAAGAAAAAGATTAAAAATACCTAAATTTCAAAGTGCCAATTTTAAAATGGAAAATTTTCAAATAATGTATTTGGCATAGTGTTAAACATTTGGTGTTATGTATATTATACTTTTTATTTTGTTCGCCATTGTTACTAAGAACAAAAATGTTTGGCTATATTTTTCTTTCTGCAGGGGCATACTCTCTTTAACAACTAGGTGTTTTTAAGTAAATCGATAGAAATTTTTTATCCAATTCTTTTGCTTTCAGATATTTTACAGTTAGATTTATTTTGCCCGTTTTATTTTAATTTTTTCTTGCATTAACTATTGTTTGCAACTTTTAATTTTTTAGCAGATTCTCCAAGTTCCCCGTCACCAAATTTGGAGTGACGGGGAACTTGCTGCCTTAATACTTGTGGTGGTTATTCCATAAAGTTGCCTACAAGGCAAAACAACGTTCGGATTTACTAGATGGTTTGATGAAGTCTTAGATGCACTGGCCGTTTAATGACCGGCGAATGGGATCCGAGGTCGGAATTTTTTGATAAATAAATATAAATTATTTTTTTTAATTTTTAGCATTCGAATTGAGCCTCCTAGTACAATTCCTAATCAACAGAGCCGTATTCAAGTTAGTGCATTTTAGAATACTTATATATGTCGGCGGTAAATTTCAATTTTAGGAAAATTTCAATTTTTCCGGAAAATTTCAAATTTTCCGGAAAAATTCAATTTTTCCGACGATTTAGGAAAATTTCAGTTCTTAAATTAATTTAATAGTCTGTTTAGCACTATTTCGCTTATTTTTAGTTTTTTGAGTATGTTTTTATTTTTTGTTTTTCTTTTGTTTTATGTTCTGTTTTTTGCTTTGTTTGTCTTTTTTAAATATTTTTGTTTATTTTTTTAATTTTGTTTTTTAGTTCTTGTTTTTTTTTTTAATTTTTGTGTTACTACTGAATGGGTAGGTCGGCATTTCAATTCTGAAAATCGTTAAAAGGAATAGGATTTTGTTACTATTGCAGAACCCAGCGACCGTTGACTCCCGCGAGACGCGTGCCGCAAAACCCCGCGCGAAGCGCGGGGTTTTGCACAAGCGTCTCGCCGACTCCCCATAGGTTTATGGGGTTTGTTTTTTGTGTCGTAACTTTATCCAAATTTATCCATGGTGATATTGTCTAAATGATGAAATTTATAGATAACCCAGAAAAAACAAAAACAAACACAAATAACCCCAAAAAACATAAAACAAGCCCAGACTCAACTGATAACTTTATTAATAAATGAAATTTTCCTAAATCGTCGGAAAAATTGAATTTTTCCGGAAAATTTGAAATTTTCCGGAAAAATTGAAATTTTCCTAAAATTGAAATTTTCCGCCGACATATATATATATTAAAATTTAAAATTATTAGCAAAAGCCCTCAGCTGGAAGTGACAAATTTTCCTCAATTAATTGGCAGGAACTAGTACTGAGGATTCCACAACTGGATTACCTTGTGGAATTGGAGGTTCTAAACTTGCTGGGAAAAAGGTTTAAAAAAAATAATTTTTAATGTTATTAATTGTAACTGATTTAGAAGAAGAGGACGGTCACGGTCAAGATCCGGGTTTACGCAGAACTGGGAAATTGTTTGGGGGTTTAATGTTAGATATTCGGTGTGTTAATTTAAAAATAAATTTTAATTTTTGAAGTCGGAAAGCCCCACATTATTTATCCGATTTTACTGATGCGTCAAACCTTCAATGTATAGCAACTACTTGTTTTATGTATTTTGCACTGTTGGCCCCAATTGTAACTTTTGGTGGTCTTCTTGAAGAAGCTACTCATCAAAGAATGGTTATTTAATTAAAGGAATATTTTTAATTCTTTTAAAGGCAGTAATGCAGAACTTAGCTAGCGGTGCGATCTGTGGCATCATATATCACTTGTTCAGTGGCCAGCCTCTAACTATAATTGGCTCTACAGGTCCTGTACTTGTTTTTGAAACAACTGCCTTTGATATTTGCAATGTAATAAAAATAATTATATTTATTAAATTGAACTATACTAACTGCATAGTAATTAGTATAATTTCCTATGATATTCAGACAATGTCTGTTAAGTATTTTGATCTACTCGGACAGCTTTACCAGTTCAGAATCTTTATTTCAAAAAATATTTTTAATTTTACATCGAATATTCTATAAATGTTAACACTCCCAACTTTTACCTTTTAAGATTGCCAGATATGGGACATGGAAAATGTGAATGTACTCCTAACATGAATGGAATGAATAGTGATGACTGCGAAGACTTTCACAACGATTCACCATGGAGACCAGGCATTGAAGATCAATCAAATGAATGTAAAAGATGCGAATGTAATGATCATGCTACTCGGTAATTAATTTTTTAAAAATAATGTGTAACAAATATTTTTTAGTTGCCATTTTGATTGAGTAGTTTATAATGCTTCTGGGTTTTCTTCTGGAGGTGTTTGTGATGATTGTCAACATAACACAATGGGGAAAAACTGCGAGAAATGCAAACCTAATTTCTATCGAGATCCTCAAAGGTAAAAATTTTTAAAAAATTGGCAAAGTTGTATTTGATATTTAGGCGATTTAAGGATATACTATGGACATCTAGATAAAATAAAGATTAAAGTTAATAATAATATTTATTTTCTAATCCCCTTTCAATATATTCTATAAACGAGGATTATTTATTTACTTCAGAGAATATTTTAATTTTACTGAATTTTACAAAGTCCCGATATTTAAAAATTTCATTGACTTTGTTTAAGTAATTGATCTTTTTTTTTGGGTTTCGAAAATAAAAAATTCGGAATTTGAATAATTCTTGATAGGTTTTCTTTAACTGCAATATTTTTAGATTCATTCGAGATCCATACGTCTGCAGACCCTGCCACTGCGGTCACAGTGGTTCTAAATTCGAATGAATTTGTGAGGGTGAAGAAGACCCAGAACGTGGATTGTTTGCAGGAAAATGTTATTGCAAAAGCAATGTTGATGGGCCAAAGTAATTTTAAAAATATTGAGAAAACAACAAATTTTCTTAATTATCTAAAGTTGTGATCGATGTAAAAATGGATTTTGAGAAATGAGAAAAGAAGATCCTGATGGTTGTCGGCCATGTTCTTGGAATCTAATTGGGACTTATGGGAATGAAGGTTGGGACAAAGTGACAGGAAAATGTACATGTAAAGCTCTTGTAATGGAAGAACAATGTGATCATTGTCTTCAAGAACATTATGGACCAAGTGTTGACGATCCTAATGGATGCAAGACTTGGTAAAAAATTTTATATTTGGCTTTATTTTTTTTTTGTAAAATTTTTATGAAACATATCCATAATGTTGGATTTTTTTAAAATTTAATTATGAATTTAATTAAAATTTTTGATTTAAATATATTTTATAAATTCGACTAATTTTTTAAATATTTTTCTAGTGATTGCGATCCTGGTGGCGCTTATGACAATCACTGCGATAGTGCTGAGGGTATGTGCCGTTGCAGACCAAATTATATTGTGAGGAAAATGGATATTGCTGGCCATGCATCGATAAATATACAGTTGAAGTAATTTTTAAAAATTTTTTAAAAATTAAATAGTTTTGATCTTTCAAAAAAGTTGACTTTTTGGGTTGGTTTTTGCTCCTTTTTTCTCTTTCCGGTCAACCTTTTGTAAAAAAGATTGTGTGAAGTACAAGTTACTTCCGACTATAAAAAATTGATGGAAATTTAAAAACAATTAAGTTTATAATATAAAAAGACCTAAAAACTTTTTTTCTCAGTCGGGTCAAACTTTACAAAATTTCCGAGTAGATGGGCGGGTTGTGCAAGGAGCAAAAATGAACCCCTTCTTATTTCATTAATTCATTACTTCATTTTATAAATTTTATTTATTTTTTTTTGTAAATATTTTATAAAATTAAAGTTTATTATCTCCCACCGTTTTCAATTTAATTTATGAAAATAATTTTTTAATATTCACTTTAATTTTTTAGTTAATAATGAGTTCCAATCGACGACGACCAGCTAGTAATTCTTCTGATGCGCCACCTACTAATAGAGCTCGGATCGACAATGGGCTTAATATTCTACCAGCTGCAAATAATAACATTAACAACAACAACTTTCCAAACAACTTACCAAACAACAATAACAACTTACTAAACAACAACAATAACTTACCAAACAACAATATTGATGTAATTTTTACAAATAATTAAATTAATTTTGTTATTAAAAATTTAATTTTTAATAAAAATTCTTTTTATGTGTAATAAAAAATTTTTTATTTCTATAAAGGTGGAAGCAATAATAGCCGCTGAAAGGGCACGTGCTAATATTATTGAAATGCCGCCTGCGGCTATGCTTCTACCACTCATAGATATCCGCAATCGCCTGACATCTTCCAATTATGCCTTTGCAGGGTGGCGCACAAATCACGTGTTTAAGTAATTTTTTGTGTAGAAAATTAAAAATTTAATTTAAAAATTTTAGTTCTCTGACTGGGGTTGTTCAATTTGTACATCGTGGTGCAACTCTTAGACGCAGCTTTGATCGGTGTGACGTTCGTGTTAGTTTTGGCTTTGGCACTGATACTCAGACTGTTGGCATATATGCTTATGATCAATGCGCTGCTATTCTTGAGACTGCCCGGGTTAATGAGGTAATTTAAAAATTTTTTATTTGAGATGATTTTTTTATAAAGATCTGCACATTTACCGCACTTACGGTGGTGGAACAAGGGGACAATAGAGGACGGTGGACGGGCACCGTACCTTTTGTTTTGCGATTTACACGTGCGTCAGCATTTGCTATTACTGGGCCAAACAACAACAACAACGTAAATAACAACAATAATAATTTGCAGCAAGCTCCCGCTGATAACAACAACAACATTCCTATTGGTAATAAGAATAATAATAATAATCTAAAAAAAATATATTCGGTTAATTTTTAGTTGGAAATGTGGCCAATCACAGAGAGATGCAGGGAACAAATGGCGGCACGGCAAACAATGTACTTCCTATTGGTAATAATAATAATAGGAAAAAAATATTTCGTTTAATTTTTATTAGGAAATATGGCCATGCAAAGAGAGATGCAGGGGCCAAGCAGCAGCAGCAGCTCATCAAACAACGTTATTGCCGCACCAACTCCTCGTGTCTCGACAACTGCACGTGCAAATCGTGAGCGTGCTACGGATCAACGAGGGGTAGATATTTTAGAAAAATTATTCAATATATAGATATAAAATTTTTTAAAATTATTTAAAATTTTCGAATAATAGTAATACATATAATAATGTTAAATTTTTACTAAATTCTTTTAAGTAATTTATATTTTCTTTTAAGTAATTAAATGAATAGATTTGATGTGGAGAATTAAAAAAAAATAATTTGGATTTTCTTTTAAGTAATTTTTTAAGTTAAATAATTTTCACTTAATTAAAAATGTTTTATTCTAAATTCAATAATTTAGTTAGTAATAAAAATTTTTTTATACATTTTATTTGTATTAATCAAATTAACTGAGCTTTGTCAAAAGAATTAATTTTTGAATATTTTCATGATTTAAAAAAATTCATATATTTTTCGAAAAAATCAGTTTTCAAATGTAAAAAAAAAATAAAAATTTTTTTGACAACTTCAAGTTTTCTATTTTCTAAATTTAATTAACCTTGTTAAATTTTTTAATAAATAAAATTCATATATTTTTTAGATAAAATAAGAAAAAATGTTATTAATCTCTCTTGCAATATATTTTTTTTGAAAAAAATATTTGTTTTTTAAATTTTATTAATTAATTAAATTTTATTAAAAAATTATTTATGTTTTTTTTGATAAATTCAATTTATAAATGTTTGAATTTCTATTTTTAAATTTGACTAATTTTGTTATATTATTTATTAAATAAAATTTATATGTCATTGATAAAGTTAAATTTTTTTATTTAATCCCAGATTTAAAATATTTTTTGAAAAATTTTTTTGTAAATTTTACATAATTAATTAAAAAATTTTTTTTAATTAATAGTGTTTTTGACAATTTCAATTTCTAAATGTTAAGAATTTCTATTTTGGAAACGGATATAAATTTTTTTATTTAATCTCAGATGTAATAATATTTTTTTGAAAAAAATTGTTTTTAAAATATTATCTAATTAATTAAATTAAAATTTTTTGAAAAAAATTGTTTTTTAATTTTGTATAATTAATTTCAATTTTTTTAGATTAATCGTGTTTGTTGACATTGCAATTTATAAAAGTTGGAAATTTCTAGTTTTAAATGGAATTAATAATTTTTTATTAAATAAAATTCATGTCTTTGATAAAATTAAAATTTTCTTTTAATCAGGTGTAATATTTTTTGAAAAAAATATTTATTTTTAAAATATCATCTAATTCATTTAAAAATTGGAAAAATTGGTTTTTTTAAATTTTATCTAATTAATTTAATTTTTTTAAATAATGTTTTTTGACAATTACAATTTATAAATGGTGTGAATTTCTATTTTTAAATTTAATTGAATTTGCTATTTTTCTTTGATAAAATTAAAAAATTATTTTTATCTCTGATGTAATAATATTTTTTTGAAAAAAAATATGTTTGTTAAATATTATCTAATTAAGTTAAAATAATTAAGAATGAAATGTTTTTTTAAATTTAATTTATTTAAATTAAGGCTTGTCAATTTTAATTCATAGATGTTGAAAATTTTTTTATTTTTAAAATTATTAAATAAAATTGAAATAATTCTTGATAAAATTTAAAAAATTATTTAATTTCTGATGAAATAATATATACGTATATATTTTGAAAAAAGTGTTTTTTTAATTTTTAATCAATTTAATAATTGTGTAAGGGTCATAAATATAGTTCTTAATTTTATTATTTTAAAAATTCTATTTGTGGTTGAAATTTTTTAATAATTTATTTATAATGAATATTGTTTGTAATATTTAAATAATATATAAATGATTAGTTAAATGCACATAATGCTCAGTGGAAACAAGGAATTATTAGAAAAGATTCATTTAGGAGAGAAATATAAAAGATTTGAGCCCGAATAAATATTTTCTAATTTAATTTGGAATGTACTTTTTATTTGGAAATTTAGTCCCTATGTACTTTTAAATCGTTTTTTTGTCGATCGTAACCCTGGTTTAAAATAAAAATTTTTTAAAATTAATTAATAAATATTTGTTTTTAAAAATGTTTTCTAGTCATCATCATCATCCTCAACAGCAGCACCCCCATCGCCATCACCATTCTGGGCCTTCCAGAATGCCCGTGAGCGTGAAGTGGCCGCTGCAACATCGGCGCTCCGGGCTTCTGGAAGGCCCCCAGCTTCAAGGGCTGTATCTCCACGCTTGCGTGGCCGTATTGGAAGAACTCCACCTCTTGGAGTATATGTCAATCCAGAGGCCGTTCAAAATAACGGTTAGTTTTCTAGTTGTGAAGTTGTCTTTAGGTAGGGGGGTATTGATTTTAGGGAGGGGTACTAGTTTAATTCTAACCTAGCAAAAAAATTTAATTTAGTGAGAGCTGTCATCGATGACGATGATGATGATGACGTAGAAGTTGTTGAAGTGACTCCACCCCGCAGACCTGCATATTTTTTCCGTGAAAATGGTTTGGAGTTGGAGGTCCCTGAGGATGATGAGGATAATGAGGGTTTAGGAGCGCGAGAGGTAAAAAAATTTGAATTACATGTGGTAACGCTCCCTCCTCATTTTGACGCCCAAGAAGAAGAATGCTTTTGCCAGGAGCCTTTTGCAGGCACCCGAGTTGTTTTTATGGCATGCCTCCACAAAATGCATTATAATTGTTTTGTTCAGTGGGCGCAAGGCTCGCGTGTGTGCCCGTATTGCCGCCGTGACATGCTTCATGGCGCGGCGGTTGATGGGCGCGCACGCGATGGGCAGGGATCCTCAGCCAATACTTAATACTAAAATTATTACTTTTTAAAATTAAGGCAAGAGGATCCCTGTTTTATTTGCTAATGTTATTTATACTTAGTTTTTGTTACTTTATTAATATTTCGCCCACAATCCTGTTTGAGTCTCAGATTAATTTTTTTTCATGCCTCGGAATGGTCAGATTTCCTTCTTTATAAATGATAAATTTTTCCGCTAGACCGATTTTTGCCGCCGAAGGCTATTTTTTCCTTCCTAATACTTGCTCTTTACCAGTAATGTTTTAAGGAAAAATGATTGACATTAAAGACAGCAAAATCTGAGACTCAAATAAGGGTGGGGGCGGGATATTAATAAAGTACCTAGTTTATTTTTTTTTTAACTTGTCTGCCTTAATACTTTTAAAATGTCTTAATATTATTTTAAATACATGCCTTAATCTTTTAAATAAGTTAATTTTCATAGAATTATTTTAAATATATGCCTTTTTTTACTATTAAATAATTATAAACCATATTATACCTACATTTTTTATTAAATAAATAAAATTGTTTTTATAAGAATAAATCAAATGATGATGATTTGTTTTGAAAATGGGCAATTAAGTAGTGTCGGGCTCCAGAACCCGTAATGACCAAAACACGGAATACTTTTAAAATCATATATTTAAAAAAAAACAGAATTTATTTAAATAAGAATTTTAAATTCATTTATTTAAATCAGAATATTTTTAAAAATCAGAACATTTTTAAAATCAGAATTTTTTTAAAATCAACATTTAAAAATAATCCTGAAAAGTTTTTTAAAATTTTCTCTTGACTGTGTTTTGGTCGTTCCGTGTTTTGGTATGGTCCGTATTTTGGTCGTTCCTTGTTTTGTCGTTCCATGTTTTGTCCGTTCCGTGTTTTGGCATTCCTTCTTTTGCCCCTCACCCAATTAATTTAGTATTTAACTAATTTAAAGAGAGACCCTACAAATATTTAAAAATTTCTTTAATTTAAAAACATTATTGTATTCAATCTTATATGGGAATTTAAATTTTTTAATTATAGGTACAAATTCAACAAGAAATGAATAACGACCCATTTATAATCGAATCTGTACAGCAATTAAATTCAAGATCTCGAAATACCAGAGGGGAGGTCTGTAATGTGAGATTCAACCCTCTTGAAGAACATGCTCGGCCAGATTTAACAATGACAACGCTAATCACACGATTACTGGATCGGGTATTAGCTGGCCGGCCTCCACCGCTTCGAGTTGGGTTGCAACTACACCCGCCAGCATTTCACAACCCTTTCACGGTGCCGCTACGCCCACCAGCTCAGAATAATCCTGCAGCTTTGGCCGCAGCAATTGAACGTCTTAATGAGATGTCTCAAGCTGGAATTGACTTGCTGGCGGGCACCACTGTAACTAAGGTTGTTGCTGTTTGGCCTCTGAATGCCCAGTTGACAGACAGTCCAGCTGTTCATACAGGTGAGTAACAGTCTTGCTTTACATATTATTATTATTAACTATGTAAGGCGTTTCTGTTATTCAAGGTGCATGCAATGTTGATATAGAACACAACTTAACACTGCAATGCCGATCAATTGTCCAAGTGGTTAATCCAAATGACCGGTATTGTCTTGCACGTGCTGTGAACATAGGGCTCAAACGAATTAGATTGCTGGAGGTGAATGGCCCGCAACAACAGCAGCAATTTCGCTCTTTCTGCAGGCAACAAGAGCAACATTTAGAGGCAGCAGTAGAACTTATGCAGAATGCTGGTCTTCGACTTGATTTACAACATTATTCGCTCGACCATGTTACTGCCATTCAAAATTTTGTTAATCAAACAATTGGAGGGGAAATTCGAATTGTCGTTTTCCAAAAAGAACAACAATATCGGATTGTATTTAAAGGTAAGCCTGTTAAATTTTCCACAAAATTTTATTTATCTAAAGGTTCGGTCCGTGCTGCCAGGTTTAACATCTGCCTTCTGCTACAAAATAACCACTACAATTACATTGGAAGGCCAGAGCAGCTGTTTCGCGCTCATCGCTTTTGTATTGATTGTGAAAGGAGAGTAACTCGCTTATATCACTGGGCTGGTTGTAGTGTAGTTTGTA